TATATATATATATATATATAAGCTTAGAACTTTACAGTGTCGTATTTTCTTTAAAAATAAATATTACAAAAAAGTTTTTTATATAACTTATAAGGAGTTTTCTTTTTTAGTGTGCAGTATATATATATATCATATATGATTAGGAACTAGATTATCTTTTTAATGTATCGTTTTGTTTTGGACCACGTGTTATTAGGTATTGCCAAATATTTAATTAGGTGGTATACTATGTAAAGTTCCTCTTAATTTTTTCAATATCGGGATCTAGATCAAAGGTGTGTAAAAACAATATTCAAAGGTGTGTAAAAACAATATATCTTCCATTTCCCATTAGTCACTGCCCAAAAGATCGTTGGTTCATCAAAAGAACCTGTCAGTTGTGTTGAACGACGAATCACAAATAATCTCTCTGAAACGCTGTTTATATATGTAATATAAGATTTTAAAAGTTTTGATTAAGACGTCGAAAGCTGGCGAAGCGTTAGAAACCAAAGGGAATTTTTTTTGCGTGATAAAAATCACAATCCACAATATTCTCAACAAACATTATTCCTATGAAGTGACATATTTTAAAACACATATTTATGCAATACAACCTACGAATTAACGCTCTTTGTGGCTCAAGAATAAGCTCGAGGGCTTTTAACGCTAGAACTCGTGGTTCGACCACTTTGGTGAGCACAGCGTAAATAGCCCATTGTGCAACTTTGCGCTCAAAAACGAAACAAACTTATTAATTATAATTCAGTTTCTTCTTTATTCTGTGAGCAAAAGTATCGTCCCGTCAGAGGTAAGACAAATCATACCAGGGTCACTTCCTCTTTTAGACGAACTTTAATTTCTCTTTTGCCTACTTTCAAATTCCATATATTTCCCCAAAAAAAAGGGAAAAAATATGCCAACAAAACAACAAATACATCTGAAAGTTATGGTGTTATCAGTCTGACAGCTGAGAGTCCTTGTTATATGGGAATATTTATATCAATAGGTAATTTTAATACTTTATGTATAAATCGTGAAAGCTTTAATAGGAT